ACCAAAGATTGCAATTTCAAGAGATGCAAACACTTTAAATCATATTCAGTAAAAATAAGTAGTTTTCTGTGATTTTTATTTAGTCATGAATTTCGGCATTTAGAAATCATTTTTTTGCACATTTTCTTGATACAGAATATGGCCTATGAGTACAAATTGGGCCTCCTAAAATCTCAGCATATTCCTTGTAGATAAAATTTTGAATCGCATCCTGAGCATTTGCTTTTGATCTATTATGAGATTTCAATTTATTTAATGTCTGCCATGGTGTTGCTACATCAGGAAACTGTTCACTTTCATTTTCATCATTAGATAAGATGAATGAAGTAAATTCCTGCATAGGCTCAAGAAAGCATTGTTGATGGCATTAGCTAATATATTTTAGGATGATTAAGAGGATATTCATATTTTTTTGAGCATATAGATATAATGATGTAAAGTCAATATATTTTATCTTTTCATTTTTTATCACTTCATAATATAAACATAAAAGTGATGTTCTACCACCATATGTGTCAGGAGGATATAATGGTAGCAAATTAAAAAATTCCTATTTCTTACTTTTTATTTCACTAATATTTTTGTCTTTTAAATATTCCCATTCCCACATTTCAATTACATTAAAATGATTATCAATTAATTGTTTTGTGAATTGGTTTGTTATCTTAAAAAGTACATTTTTCCTTTTTGGGGGGTATTATAACCATCACTATTAAAGCATTCAGTACAACCATAAAAAAACAAACATGAAATTGATATACCGTATTGTTTTGTGCATAATATTGTCAATATATCACCCTAAAATTTTTCTTTCTCCATTAATTGTGACCAGGGATATACTGGCGGAAAGCAAATTCTTATTATAAATATCAAAGCCCAGCAAAGTCCTTTTAAAAGAGCCATTTAATGCATAAAAAGAAATATTTACTTAGAAGCATAACATTTTGTCTTGACTCTCAAGACATCATCAGACAGTATTAAATTACAAGTATAGAGGGATATATGTATAATAGCTATTCACATAATATTAAGTTACATGGTGGGATGAAAACGTGATAGTAAATATGGGATAAGATGGTATGATGTGGGATATATAGAAACACGAAAGAAAGAAAGAGCAAACTAACACAAACAATCATCGAGTATACTGACATGAGGAAGGACAAAATTAGATTAAAGCAACTGAAGGACAATGGAGGAGAGAGAGGGATGCTGCCCGTCGAATCGACGATGGCTGTCTGCAAGTGTCCATCTATTCATGGACTTTTGATTGCAGACTGCATGCACAGTGAGAAGAGCATGGTTGTGCAGGCCATGTTCTATTGGCTTGGCGAAGCGGTTCCATCTTCAGTGGCACAAATGATCGTGACGACTGTGAAACTACGGGGTTGCAGGGAGAGGCCGTCGACACAGTTAATTCGTGAGCGCCCTTTGCTGGTTTTTTTCCCGTTACGCCGAACACCATTTACCCATGGCTGGGGACTATTTAATCCATAGCTGGACAAACCTCGTCAGGCAGCAGGGCGTGTCCACACGTCGGTGGGCCTGGCCTGTCGTGACTGCGGGGGGTTTGTCGTGACTGCGGAGGTTTCTGTCATGGTTATCTCAGCCTTTGGGCAGTCAAACCCTAACCGCAAGGCAGCGGGTTCCAGTTAACTTAAGGGCGCCGGAAACTCGCCCCTCACCAGAGCACCGTTAGCCAAACACAGGCTGCACCACGAGTAGGTGGGGTTGACTTGACTGACAGAAGCTTTATTATCGTCGGTGGGCCTGGCCTGTCGTGACTGTGGGAGGTTTGTCCTCCGGAGGTTTCTGTCAAGGTTCTGACCCTTAGCCTTTGGGCAGTCAAACCCTAACCGCAAGGCAGCGGGTTCCAGTTAATTTAAGCGCGCCGGAAACTCGCCCCTCGCCAGAGCCCCGTTAGCCGAACACAGGCTGCACCACGAGTAGGTGGGGTTGACTTGACTGACAGAAGCTTTATTATCGCTTGGACATTTGCTGCACTTTTTATGCGCGTCCTTATCAGTCCTTACAACCTAGATAGAAGGAAACTCCATTTATGTAGTATAGACTATTTTTGGACATGATACAATATGTAACATAAAAATATCATCCTGCAATGATGTATATATATATTCGCTTACTGCAAATGCATAGAGCACCCTCGGATTGTGTGGAGACTCTCATAAGAAGTTCACTGCTTTCGCGTAATGCAAAGCTCACCTTCATAGGTTCGAGCCATCTGTTGACTCTACAATACAATCCATACAATGTGTTACCATACATCCTGTGTCTCAAGTGCTGGAGTCACCATTTTAGTATGGTGATAGCCGGGAGGGCACATTGTAATACACCTTAACGTCTTTCAGACCTGGGTGACCACAACTAATATCCCTTGCACAAGGGAAAAGCTAATCGATCGTTTGAAACTGGTTTTACAGGATAATTTTGAGACCACAATGGATCAAATTTCACTTTGTGCTTTGCAGAGCCATCGTACTTTTTACTAGCTTTGCTTGTACTGCATTCTTGTCTTGACTCTGAACCTGAATCTGCATAATCTTCGATGGAACTTATTAGAGAATTTCTATCATCATGGCCTCGTTTTGCGGCAGCCATTTTGTGTTACATAATTATACTAAAAAACGAAAATCAATGTCATGCCCAGTTCCCGGCGCACTGCGGCTACAATATGTTATGCTTTGAATGCTATTCATCGAGTATTTCTTTCCATGCGATGAATAAAAATGAAAAAAAACTGGAGATTTATTATCTTTGTCAGGAGGTCGGGGGAAATGCAGCAAAAGCGGGAGTCTCCCGGCGAAACCAGGAGAATTGGCAGGTCTGGGCTTATAAACAATATTAGGTTGTAAGCTGTCAAAATGTAAAGATATAACTTGCTTCAATTGTAACTAGAAAGAATCAATATTTTCAATGCAACGACTCTTGGATATTCAAACAATGATAATTTCGATTGCAGGCAAGAAAGATTTAAATTTTATGAATTTATTAACTCACTCACTCGGAATTTGCGATGTATGTTGCGAAAAATTGCTAAAGGAGAAATAATATGCACGTTTTGCTTGTATCTTCTACTTAATGGTTAAATTGTTCTCATGATTATTTCTGCCCATCTTCTTAACCGAATAATCTCGAGTTATTAACTTTATTTGCAGTTCACATGCAGCACTTCACATGTTTACTATAATCAGGTCAAATCCGACGACTTTACTAATATCATGTATTCCTGGAGAGAACGATTTAGAAACCAGGTCAGCATACAAGGCGGTGAAACAATTCAGATCAATTAGAAATTGACTCACTATTGACTGTATTAAATTTGTGTCTCATTGAAACCCAAATAAACAGATTGCATTTATCGAGCATGCATCCAGTGAGTCAAAAAGTCTGCAAATGATTGTTTTGTGTCTTGAATGGCAAAAAGATTAATACGCTTTTCTCTTTTACAAACACCAATGTTGGAATGTTAGTAAGAAGATATATGGCTGAATAAAGCTCATAAAATTAATGAAATTTTTCGAAATACAGTGAAAATTTTAGTGTCATATTATGTGAAAGGTTAGCTAGCTAATTGGTGCTAAATTTTTTAATATAGGAGCTTTCAGAAACACAGGAAATCGCGTTTACGAGCTTTTAAAATTCAAAGTTTTCCTGGGGAGCATGCCCTCGTATCCCTTGCAGGCTCGCGCCTTCGTTGGCAATGAAATGTTTGGCAATGTGATGATTTTTACTGTTTTGTTGCTGTTCTTGTTACTTTAGTCGGTTTGTTTTTTGTTTGGTATCCTGTTTGTTGCATTTTGTTTTCTTGGCACCTTCAATGTTACAATGGGTGTTGATTCTGTTAAAAAGTGTTTGTATGCAGCTTCTTTTGCATTGTGAGGGATAATTACTGTTGAAATCGAGTATTTGGTCTGTGTGGGTAGTTTTGTGGTATACTTGTGTGTGTAGTGTACCGTCATCTGTTCTGGTCAGAAGAGTAAGTTGTTTGTCATGTTTTTCGTCTTTAGTAAAGATTATGTTCTTTGTGGTATTGTTTATGGTGTGTAAGATTTGTTCTGTTTTCTCTTTCTCGACTATGGCAAAGATGTTGTCAACATATCTTTTCCATAGTCTGATGTTTGTGTTGTTTGTGAATTATTTCGAGATGTTGCATGACGACTTGTGCAAGGAAAGTGAATAGTGGTGACTCTATTGGTGTGCCTAAAAATTGTCTGTAGTATGTGTTTTGGAAGGAGAATTCAGTGGAGATGCAGAGGTTGAGTAAGTCTAGGATGTCATTTTTGTCTAGTTGTGTTGTAGCTTGCCAAGTTTTGCCGTTTGTGAGTAGTTCATTTGTAATTTGTTTGGCTATATCTGGTGGTATAGATGTGAAGAGTGATGTAACGTCATAGGAAATCATAGTTTTGTCTGGTTGTAGTTCAATTGTGTCAATGATGGCAAACGTGGTGGCATTTTTGATGGTGTGTGGTTAATTTTTAATTAATAGATAGAAAATAATATAAAGATAGTTTTGATAGTTCATACATGGGTGATGCTGAAAGAGATGCGATAGGTCAAAGTGGGTGGTATTCGTTGTCGATTTTTGGTAGTCTAGAATTTGGTAGTCTAGAATTATGGAAGTCAGATTCTTCCATAATTGTTTTCAGTTAGTTTCTTTTTCTCTTTCATTTGTTTCAATTACTGGTTGATGCGGTTGGTGGTGATTTTGCTGGGGTCTGCGTGGAGAGGTTTGTAGGTGGTGGTGTCTTGTAGAACGATTGGTTTGGTTTCACCAAACATAAAGACAAAACAACAATTTATGATACAACTGACGCCATCTACATGATACCATGTAAAGACTGTTTAAAGCAATACATAGGACAAACATCAAAGAAAATCGAAACAGGACTCACAGAACACAAAAACGCCATAAAACAATGACTGGACAGAAACGAAAGTACTCAGATGCGCACTAACAAAACAATCACATGAATTCAAAGAAGCTTGGTACGGTGAAGACAATGACACAATAAACAGACATATTGACATACCTGTCATATATTCTCAACTAAAGAAAGTGGTGAACATCTCCATTTGAAACTGCTGTGCTTATTGTGAGCTTATTTGTAAAAAGTAGTAAATGCTACAGCCATATTCAATGTTCATGCCTACACTATGTAGTTTACATATTTATCAGATTTATGGAATAGATGGAAACAACAATTCGAGCTTTATCTGGTAGCTACAGAATCACACGAGAAAACAGAAGAGATCAAGACGTCAATTTTACTAACATGTATCGGGAAGCACGGCATAGAGATCTACAATACATTTACGTTCTCTGACGAGGCAGACAAATTGAAATTGAAACCAGTATTGGAGAAGTTTGAAGCATATTGCAAGCCGAGAAAAAATATCACTTTACTTCGACACAATTTCCTTACGCACAAGCAACATGATGGGGTGACATTTGATGCCTTTGTCACCGAGCTAAAAAGACGAAGTGCACAATGTGAACTTGGCGACCTTAGAGAATCACTCATCAGAGACATGATAGTAATCGGGGTCTCAGACAACCCGCTTAGAGAGCGACTGTTAAGGACGGAGACTTTGACTCTAGAAAACGCAATAAATATTGGTCAGGCATCAGAAGCAACAAAGCAACAAGCAATGACATTAAGCAGACCACACGCCGGAAACCAGAACAATGTCGACGAACTACGCACGAAATCTAACAATACAAGGCGCCCACGACAACAGAGCACATCTACTTCAGCATCTTCGCAAGCTCGCAGCAATTGTAAATACTGTGGCGACATTCACCAACGAGGAAAATGTCCTGCATATGGGAAAACATGCTCAAAGTGTCATAAATTGAATCACTTTGCCTCTGTTTACTTATCTACGTCCCGCAGCGTACATTATACCACGGAAGGTCATGAAGGTCACGATTACGAGATCGCAAGCGATGCCAATAACATTTTCATAGGAACTCTCTCAACGGAAGTGACAGACAACTCCGTCAATACGGCTAATATTACGAAAGATGGAAATCGTGACTGGATTATCTCTCTGCGATCAAATGAAAGTGTCACGCGGTTCAAAATTGACATTGGAGCTCAGGCTAACGTCATACCAATGGCAACAATTGAGAAACTAGCAACTAGACCGCATATTGAGAAAACTAATACAACGTTGACAGCATATAACGGAATGAACATTCCAGTGGTTGGAAAATGCACGCTGGACATTCAACATAACAATCAAACACACGCAATACCGTTTGTTGTTGCAAACACTACTTCACCGCCACTAATTGGGTTACAAACCAGCATCGACCTCAATCTTATAAAGCGAGTTTGGACCATAAATGCTAAAACACCAAACTTCATACAAGAGTACAAAGATGTTTTTGGAGAACTTGGATGCCTAAAGGGTGAACATCACATTAGCATTGACCCCAATGTAACGCCAGTAGTTCATCCACCTCGAAAGATTCCATTATCACTTATGGAACATCTCAAAGCTGAGCTAGAACGCATGTGCAAGCTTGATGTCATAGAGAAAGTTGACGAACCAACCGATTGGGTCAGCTCCATGGTAGTTGTAGAAAAGGACAATGGCCAGTTACGTATTTGTCTTGACCTTAAAGATTTGAACACTGCCATAAAACGTCATCATTATCCTATGCCTACAGTGGACGAAGTCCTATCCAAACTAGGCGGCTGTAACTATCCATATTTACAAAGCTTGACGCATCCAGCGGTTACTGGCAAGTTAAAGTCGACGAAGCCAGCTCGAAACTACTTGCATTTAACACGCCCTTTGGACGATATTGTTTTAAGCGCCTAGCGTTCGGGATTCACAGTGCCGCTGAAGTGTTTCAGAAGAAAGTTGCTGAAATCATTGATGGTGTACCGAATGCGGCAAACGACCAAGATGACATCATAGTCTTTGGTAGGAACAAAGAGCAGCACGACAAAGCACTAAAGGACATACTCGACAGAGTAAGAGAGTCTGGACTTAAACTGAATGAAAAGAAATGCCGCTTCGGGGTTTCCGAGACAACCTTAGGACATGTAATCACTGCAGCAGGCATTAAGCCAGATCCTAGAAAAATAGAAGCAATAATCAACATGCCCACGCCTAGCAACAAAGTCGAAATTCAACGTTTTCTCGGTATGGTGACGTACCTCGGAAAGTTTTTACCGCGCCTATCTGATGAGACAGCGCCGCTAAGACAACTACTTGAAAAAGACGTCGTCTGGCATTTCGAAACGAAACACCGTCAAGCCATAGAAAATCGAAAACACCTCGTCACCAGCAGTCCAGTGTTAACCTACTTTAATCCAAAACATGCAATAAGGATCACAGCTGACGCCTCTAAATCAGGTCTTGGTGCAGTACTCGAGCAATTAGAAGAGAACACCTGGAAGCCCGTCGCATATGCTAGTAGAGCAATGACCCAAAGTGAGCAAAACTACGCACAGATAGAAAAAGAGACATTGGCAATTGTGTTTGCATGCGAGCGCTTCCACGAATACACCTACGGCAGACCAATCACGGTACGTTCAGACCACAAGCCACTCAAAGCAATCTTTTCAAAACCACTATGCAGGGCTCCTCCGCGCTTGCAAAGACTACTGCTCAGGCTCCAGCGATATGAGCTAAGTATTGACTACACACCAGGAACGGACATTCCCGTTGCAGATGCTCTTAGCAGAGCATACCTGGAAAGTAAACCCACACCAGAGATATCGGAGGAAGACATGAACTGTCATGTGCACTCAGCTCTGCACAACCTGCCAGTATCAGATTCCAAGCTACTAGAATTTAAACTAGAGACAGCTAAGGATCCTACTCTTCAAGAGCTGAAAAACATAGTTGTCAATGGTCTTCCATCCAACAAACAACGCATCCCTGATGCTGTCAAGCCATACCTGACATTCATCGATGAAATATCAGAAGTTGAAGGAATCCTCCTTAGAACAAACCGCATCATAGTACCCTCCTCAATGAGATGTGAGATGAAAGCAAGAATTCACGAGGGGCACTTAGTAATTGAACGATGCAAAACAAGAGCAAGAGAAGTGATCTTTTGGCCAGGGATGGCTACAGAAATATCTGAGATGATTTCCCGCTGTGAAACATGCCTAGAATCAAGAAAACGACAGCAACGCGAACCACTTATGCCACTACCACCTGCTCATCATGCCTGGAGCAGAGTAGCATGTGACTTATTCTACATGAACGGCAAGGACTATTTACTAATTGTCGACTACCATACTAGTTTTCCAGAAGTAAGTCTACTTTCAGAAACTACCTCTGCTGGAATAATAAAGCACACAAAGTAAATATTTGCAAGACACGGTATACCAGACACAGTCGTCACAGACAATGGACCACAATTCGCTTCGAAGGAATACCGAGACTTCGCCAAGAAATGGGAATTTCAACACGTCACCTCAAGTCCTGTTCATCTGAGGTCCAATGGCAAAGTCGAGCGCACAGTACAAACAGTCAAGACCCTCTTGAAAAAGCCATTAAGTCTGGTGATGACCCATACCTAGCCCTACTTAACTTCAGAGCCTGCACAAGCCCTGACGGTACTCCAGCTCCAGCAGCCATGTTAATGAATAGGAAACTAAAGACTCGCCTACCCTCAATAGAGACCCAAGAAATCTCCAAGAAATCTATAATACAGAAACAGTACTACGATAAGCATACAAAAACTCTCCCTGAGATTTCAGATGGTTCAAATGTTCGTCTTCATGATGGCAAAGGCTGGAGAATAAAAGGACAGGTGATCCGGAAGGCAGAGACACCAAGGTCATATATCGTTCAAACTGACACCGGAGGCCAATTGCGAAGAAACAGGCATGATATATTAGTCACTCCTGAACCAGCTGAGAATTCCCAACCAGAAGAAGTTGAAGAGCCTCATGTGCACCATAGTGAGCCTGAAGACACAAGAACAACAGAGGACGAACATTCTACTCCACCCAGCTACGCTTATGTGACCCGCTATGGCAGGACTGTGAAACCACCAACTAGATTCGGCCAAGATACCTAAGTTACTTATAGAACATTGTCACTTAGCTAATCCAACATATAGATTACAATCTTGTTACAGTTAAGTGTTAGATTAATCTCAGAAGGGAAGATGTCATTTACTTGTAGTTCACAAGTATGATTAAAACCTAAACATGAAACTGCCTTTATACAATACTCCCACTCAGTTTGATGTTTAACCAAAAACAAAATACAACCAAGTGAACAAAACATGAAACAGGAATAACACATTTCAAAATCTAGTCCTATGCCGGTCAGACTAAGCTAACCCTAACATGTCTCTAAGTGAAACGAATCGCTCTCGGGGCAGAGATTTCGTGAGAATGTCTGCTATATTTTCTTCGGATTGGCAATATTGAGTAGCGATGTCACCTTTTTCGATAGCTTCACGTGTGTAATGATACTTAATATCTACATGCTTTGTACGCTTGCTTGTTTTACCGTTGTTTGCTATCGCGAGAGCAGATTGATTGTCAACATGAATGGTGGCGGCTATCGATGGTGGGGCTCCAATATCTGACAGTAATTGACGTAACCATACACACTCCACCACACCATCGAAGAGAGCTATATATTCGGACTCGGCAGTTGATAAGGCTATGATTGACTGACGCTTACTACACCAGCTCACCGGTCCACCAGCGTGTATGAACACTGCTCCAGACTTCGAGTGACGGTCGGCACTACTGGCGTAATCAGCATCTGTATATCCATATAGGGATTTTCCTTGTTTTCGATATACGAGACCTAAATCCTGGGTACCTTTGAGGTAGCGAAGAACCCTCCTGGCGGCCGTCAGGTGAGTCTGAGATGGGTAGGAGTTGAACTTTGATAAAACTCCCACTGTCTCCGCTATATCAGGACGAGTAGACACTGCAGCGTATAGGAGACTTCCTATGATAGACTGATAGAGCTTAGCGTCGACTGGCTTGCTACCATCATTCTCTTCTAACTTGACATCACATGCTGCAGGGTGGATACAGGATTACAGTTTTCCATGTCGAATCTTTTCAGTAGTTGTCGGATATACGGTGTCTGGCTGAGGTGTAAGGAGGAGTTGTCTTCTCTCTTTACGACTATACCTATGCAGTGGTGTAGCTCACCGAGATCTGTCATTTTGAAGCGAGCTGAGAGAGCAGACTTTACCTCAGTCATCTGTGTGTCTGTATCAGACATAATACAAATGTCGTCCACGTACACTGCGATCATCATCTTAGAGTTATCCTTCCATCGCACGTAAACACAGCTATCTGCAGTAGATCGAGTAAACCCTAAAGATTTTAGGAACTCATCTAGCACAGTGTTCCAACATTTCGGCGATTGCTTTAGTCCGTATAGCGAACGATTTAGCTTGCAGACTAAGTGTTCCTTACCTGAAACTACAAACCCCTCTGGTTGTGTCATATAAATCTGTTCGTCATCAGGGAGTGTGCCATTTAGGAAGGCTGTTTGCACATCCATCTGGTGTATGAGCATTTCACGTTCCACAGCATCAGCCAGTAGCACACGTAATGAAGAGCGTGAACTACTGGTGAGTATGTGTCGTCGTAATCTATACCAGCTTGTTGTGCGTATCCTTTGGCGACAAGCCGAGCTTTGAACTTATCTACAGTACCATCAGGTGAGTATTTTGCTTTAAACAACCACTTCGAACCTATAGCAGTACGATCAGACGGTAGCGACACTAACTCCCAGGTTTTGTTCTCGATAAGTGATTTATACTCACTTTCAGCAGCAGTCATCCATTTGTCACGATTCACACTCTCCTGCGCCTCTGAGAAAGACAGTGGCTCTATGATATCAGTGGCTGAGCAGGCAACGTGACCCATACCAGTGTGATCATCAATACCGAAGCGGATGATGGGTTGAGTAGAACGAGATGGACGTGCGGAGGTAGGTGGGGACGACTCATCAGTGTTGTTTACATGTAGGTCTACTTCTAAAGTCTCAGAGCGAGCTTCCTCAGGTTTGACAGTAGACTTGGGCATACCTAGCTTAGTTTCGTCGAATACTACATCACGGCGCACCTCTATCTTCTTAGTCAGCGGATTGTAGAGTCGATACGCTTTGGATCTGAGGCTATATCCCACGAATATCATCTTGTCTGCTTTCTCATCCAGCTTTCGTCGCAGCTGATCTGGAACGTGAGCGAACGCTAGACATCCGAAGATTCTTACGTGTCCGAGGTCAGGCCTTTTATTGTTCCATTACTCATAAGGAGTTATGACCTCTCTGTGAGCTCGCGTGGGAAGACGATTTCTCAGATACACAGAGGTGGCTACTGCTTCAGCCCAAAACGTTTTGGGAAGACCGGATTTCGCGATGAGTGAACGTGCTGCCTCACAGATAGTACGATTATAACGTTCGGCACAGCCGTTCTGCTGCGGGGAGTATCGTGCAGTCAGCTGATGCTGAATACCTCGTGAAGTCAGGTAACTCTCAAACTCGTGAGATACATACTCGCCTCCGCCGTCAGTTCTCAACGTACCTATAGTCTGACCGGTAGCATTTGTAACCATAGACTCATACTCTTTGAAGACCTGAAACACACTGGATTTATCATGCAAAAAATAAACATGAGCATATCGAGAGAAATCATCAATGAATGACACTATGTATTTACTACCACCTATAGATTCTGTTTGCATAGGGCCACACACGTCTGAATGGACTAACTCGAGCACCCTGGTTGATTTGATCATGTTATCAGTATAAAATGGTTGACGAGTCATCTTGCCTTTTACACAGGCTTCACACACACCAATGTTACCTGATAGATCACAGCCATTGTTACACCACTGAGTCATGTTTTTGATACTGTTGATATTAGCATGTGCGAGATGTTGGTGCCACAGAACTGTATTAGACGCACACCTAGCAGAATGATCATCGGTTCTAACATCGAGGTAGTAAAGTTTATCTCTCATGGTGCCAGATGCACACACCATCTTTCTACGATTTTTGACCCAGCATCGAGAATGTCCAAATTGGATTACGTAGCCATTCTGAGTGGCGGCTTTTACTGAGAACAGATTTCCACTTAGTTCGGGGATATGTAACACATTGTACAGAGTAGCATATATGGATTTATTTCGACTCTCCCAGACCTGAAGTTTCACACTACCTTTCCCCCTCACTTGTATCTTGGAACCATCGGCTATCATAACATACTCGGGTGATTCTGGTGCAGTAGGCGTGTAGTCACAGAAAGCATCTCGTTCTTTGGCCATATGACTAGTAGCTCCACTGTCGATTAGCCAGAGTTGAGGTTCGGCGTTACCCTTGGACACCGCAAATGCCGAGGTCTGTCAGAGTTATTTTGATAGCCACGGTCACGCCCTCTACGTCCTCTACCACCACGAGATCCGCGACTTCCCCTACCACTACTGCTCTTTCTGGGACAGACATTCTGATAGTGGTCCAAAGAACCACATATATAGCATCCTCTATTTTGCTGATCAGCTCTGCTATTGGCCGACAGCAGGGCAGTGTCAGAATTGGCTTGAGATCTGCCACTACCAGATACGCCAGCCGAAGCCAGAGATCTTTGTTCTCTCTTCTGTTCCTCATTAAGTAATGTCTGAGTCACAAACTCAAGCGATATATCGTCACCTCGTGCCTCTAGAGCGGTTACGACAGTTGAGTAGCTATCGGGGAGGCTACCGAGCAGAGTGACGACCTGATCCTCTTCGCTTATATTAGCTTTGATCGCTGCGAGTTTGTCTGTTATGGCTTTCATATGTCGGAGATGTTCCTGCATAGACGTACCTTCCTTCATAACAGTTCTAAAGTATTGTTTCTTGAGAAACAGTTTGTTGGCAAGAGTATCACGCTCAAAATGAGCACTCAACCTGTCCCATGCTGCTTGGGCATTAGCACATTCAGTGATCAAATAGATGAGATTGTTGCTTACTGATAAGACTATGTGGGAGAAAGCTTTGCTATGATTCTTTTTATAAGCGGTCTTGTCTGCTTCACTGGCCTCACTGCTCAGAGTAATGGATCCATCTACATATCCAAACAAGTCCTTTGCTATGAGAAGGTGTTTGAGTTTGAATTTCCAAGTTGAGTAATTGTCTGTAGTGAGCTTATCCACACTCCAGCTTTTATCATCCATGATCACTGATGTTTATTTTCTTAGTTGGAATGGGTGTCTGGGCCCATAACCTGTTGTTTATTTAAGATTGATGTGGATTAGGATGCTTATTTATTTAACACAATATATCTCTTGGCAAGAGAGAGAATCAACTAACAAAAAAATAAACAAAGCGGAACGCAATGCATTGTAGGATACAGGAAGTGAAACACACAGAAAACTGTATACATGAGTAGACAACTCACAAGTATGATTAAAACCTAAACATGAAACTGCCTTTATACAATAGTAATACAGATAGGGCTTTTACGTATAAATGGAAAGTTTTAATATGTATGTAATTAAGTTTCTTTTTTCAGAACAGCTATGTCAGCAATATATTATATTGTAAACTTTTGCATAATAACATAATTTTTCGTGAGAACAAATATGTATTGATTGCAAACATAATTTTTTTCCTTTTTGGGACAATGTAAAATGAAAGAAGTTCAAATTTTCTGTTTTGTTGTCTTAGAATGACCACAAACCACCCAAGCTCTTGCATTTTTTGTGACACATAATAAATTTGTGTTAAACTATGTATTTCAATAAGCATGTTTCCCTCTCCTTTGATTATCTTATCCTTGCATTCTTATTCAGAATTTCTTCTTTTTGTTGTCCTTCCATTCTTCTTATCGTCTTATCCTTCTATTACTTACACTAATTCATAAGTATTACACTTTTATTCAAAATGAGTTTTCTCTCCACCCTTTCCCCCCCTTAAAATCTCATATCCTAAAGAGACCCATACTTGTGCTTGAAAAAGCTTCAACGAACTAGATAAAAATTATGGTAGCATATGATATGTAATACCAAAACTGTTTGTTAATGTCCTTTTTCAATTAACAATTCATGCAACAGGGAAAGAAGAGCAGTAAGAAGAACGGAAAGCAGAACAGAAAGAACAAGAAGTGTCTTCAGGAATTTACATAAAAAGAGCGACAAAAACACACTTAAATAAATGTGTGTATGACAAAAAACATGCATATGCTGCTTCTGCGGCAAGCTTAAATTAAAGATCAGCCGTCATTTTCAAATACACCACAAGGACAAAAAAGAAGTGAAAAGGGCTCTTTCATTTCCAGAGAATTCAACAGAAAGAGAGAATATCCTTGCAGAACTGCGAGGCCACAGTGATTTCCATCACAATCAATTCGTTAACACAACATGAGAGGGTAAAACAATTGTGGTGACACCAGGCCAAATTGATATTTCAACTGCAGAGTTGTATACACCATGTTTAAAATGTCTGGCATATACAATAAAGAAAGACCTTTGGAAGCATGATCGATAAGGCACCTGCCAAAAGTGCAAGAGAAGGCTACTGAAATTTCCAACATGTTTCAGTTGCAAGAGCTGCAATAGCTTTATCAAGATCAGGAATACTGGGATTTGAAGCAAAAATATTTGTAAATTCGGCTTTAATGGATAAAGCATTCGAAATTGCCAATAATTAATTGGGTAAAGGTGCATTTAGAGGACAAATTTATGTAAGGGGTAAAAGAACAGGTCAAAAGGGAGGAATTATAGGATTGTTACCATTATTAGGGAAAATGTTTTAAGTCATTAAAAAAAACATTGTTTATGTAAAAAATATTTTATTCAATAAAAATATTATTTAAACATAGTCATAAACAATTTGGTTTTATGAAATTTATTAAGAGTGACGTTTCATCTTTACTCAAAACATCTTCAGACTAATTAGGAAGTTAACAAGAATAGAGATATATATAGAGCTATTTACATAGTTTGAGGTATAAGATTACTGTGAATGTGTAAGTGTGATGTGATGTTTGGGTGAGGTGTTGCGAGTAGAAAAGCTTAAGAGGGATGGAGCTGCCTTGGGTGTTAAGTGAAGGTTTAAGTTTGGAGATGAGGAGGCTTTCGTGGATCATGAGGTGGAATGTGTCGGAGCAGGATGAGATGATTTTAAAATTGTCTGGCGAAGCAGGGTGGTTGGAGGAGTTATGAGAAAGAATACTTGACATTAATGGGTTAGTATAGCGTTTTCCAGTCAAAGGAGAGATCCCCAAGTGTTCCGAGATTCTGGTGTGTAAATGGCGTGGGGTTTAACCCACATACGACGCGGAACAGCATTGACACGTGTATAAATAAACAACACTAGATCTTAGAGACTTGGGAATTTTATACTTAACTGGAAAAAATGAAGAGACTCATGTGGGGTACGAAAGATGAATCTGACATTAAGATGAGGGAAAGCAGCGTTGTAGAGACGATTGATTTGTGTGCCGATTTGTAACGAGTGACAGCTGGTAAATGGGAGACAGAAATACACTATTTTGTTAGGGGCACTAAGGACAGCTGGTTTCTGTTGGAATTGGGTAGCTCAACAGTTAGAACGGCATACTAGTATCCCGAAGGTGCGAGTTCAAATCTCGTCCAAGTCACATGTTTTTCATGTGCATATAAAACTGTGTTAGGATTAATATATTATATATGTGGTCTCACTGTAGAAAAAAGTTTTCTGGATGAGTTATCAATCATTTTAAATATCTTGTTTCTTGAACGAAAGCTTGCAGATGGAATGTATTTGGTTTGTTTATTCAGAGTTTTTACAGTCAGAACTTACGGTAAAGCAAGAATTGAACACACATTGCATATGGCATTCCAGAGACAACTTGATTTTGGGTGTACCTGATGAACGTTTTTTCTGCCTAAAAGCACTGGACATAGGAACTGTCCAATCACTGCTTCTGATAACGATGTTTGTGGTATATTGAACCAGAGATACGTATACACAGAATCAGAATTGGCATTGGATGAAAATTATATAGAATTGAAGGATTACTTAAAGTGCCCCTGTCAAAAAAATGAAACTCAAACATATGAATCTTTGTAATATGTACATAATGAAAATGGAAATCAGAATTAAATTCAAACGATTTTGCCGAGTTATTGCGGTATGAATTGCAAAATTTTCAAATTTTAACGGCAAAAGTTTTTTAAAATCGCGAAGTCGGAAACCTGGTAACTAATACGTCACAGTAGGAACCGGTTCGCATCTCAGCTTGTTTACAAATAGTAAAAATTATTGTACAAAGGTCGATATTTACAATCAAAACTCGCTCAATTTTTCTAATAATGTCCTCATCGAACTCAGACACGGAAAGTACTAGCTACCAAACAGACGACTCTGATTGGAATTATTATCCCGGGATATTCGATATAAAAGACAAGTGAAGCGTCCGCTACTAAAGACGACAAAGCACAGATGACAACGCAGACGTTGGCCCATACAGCAATGAACCAGTTGCTGATGAAGAATGGCTTTCTAACTACCGTGGAAGAAAACAAAAATATGATGACCGTTTGAAAGAACTTCAACGTAGACTTGACGGCGAAGAGAAATATGACCAATGGTAATTATTTGATGGTTTTGTAATATAATTCATCGGGATTTCTTTTAAATGAAATTTACAGTACAGAGCTTCTTTATTAAGTTTTGAAAATAACGTTTTAAGGTGTAAATGTGGCAATTGTCGAGTTGAGCTTCTTCACAATGTTAAAGAGTGTCAGTGTTGCACGGAAATAGAAGAGTGCGAATAAGCACTGAATAGCGAACTCGTTTTGCAAGAGCTCAACACTGAGAATCCTCAGACTTGCATTGTCAACCATCCTGGTTTTCATAGCCTGTGCTTAGACAAGTGGTCACTTCGTCTAGCAGCTGCAAAGTTACGTACTAAGAAAAAGCAGGAGTATCGTCAAACAAGCACAGAAGATAAGTAAGTGCATTATTACTTTGAGAGAAAGACAATGTGTCATTTATGTTTCTGTTCTCGTTTCTGTTCATATTCTTAACTCTAAAAATATTAAGATACAATCATACACTACAATTCAAAAAGAGTTATATATAAACTAAAATACCACCTGTTTTTTGGCCACTTCAATGTATTAAAATTGCATTTTTAATTTGTAGATTTTTTCGAAATACGTCTTATAGAAGTTTTATGTGGTTAGTTTTTGGACATATGGGAAATAAAAGGTATCCCTTACCGGCATGTGCATATGACAAAATAAGACGGCAGTTCCAACCAGCTGACAATGTCGATTTTGTAGGATTTGTGGAAGAGGAAATCTCTTGAAAATTTTCAACTGTTGTATTTAGGGTTTGTGGGATTAACTTCAAATTATAACAAAAACTATATTTATATGTAATATGATTGTTTGATTATGTAATATGATTGTTTGATCTTGTTATAATCTCGTTTGTTCTAACTCTGTTGTCACTCTGTTGCATCTAATCTGACTCTCTTGTTTTTGGGACAGTCCTTTATTTTGCTATGTCCTGCCATTAAATTTCTGCAGACAGAACACCTTGGTTTTGCTCTGTTGGCAGATGATTTGCCACCCTTTGCTGCCTTTTCTTGAGTAAGGACTACTGAAACTAAAATTTCATTATACGATAAGTCAATCAAGAAGATATTAATCCAAATGACAGTCCTTTATTTTGCTATGTCCTGCCATTAAATTTCTGCAGACAGAACACCTTGGTTTTGCTCTGTTGGCAGATGATTTGCCACCCTTTGCTGCCTTTTCTTGAGTAAGGACTACTGAAACTAAAATTTCATTATACGATAAGTCAATCAAGAAGATATTAATCCAAATGACGAAAGAGTTTGGTGTTACATACACATTGAAGAAAAAAGAAGGATAAGATTAACTTAATTTTAGATTATTATTATGCACCTGGTGTTGTTGGAGGCATATCTTCAACAACAATGGTTTTTCTGGCATTTCTCTTCATCACAGCTATTTCTCTTCTCTCTTTTTCAAGCATGGTGTTCATGGGAGCAGGTGCCATCTTATTCAGCTGTTCATAAGCTATCTTAAGACTGCCATTTTGAGATGCTCTCACATATGTCTGGTAGATCTCATCAACATAATCTAACATTATAATGTCATATTTATTGAAATCATTGCAAGAAGAAATTCACTCTTGCTAGAAAAATTTGAACATTTGACATTCATGCCACTATAACATTACTTACCAAAGTTTTGTTTTTCTTTTATATCTCGAACTGTGGCTTCACCCCCTTTAAACTTTGGATATGATATCTTGATCATTGGTGTGCCATCTTTATTTAATTTTGTTTTGCGGGACAAATTTGCATTAAAGTGAATAGCAGTTAGGATGTGCCTAATATGAGGTAGATGTGTCTTAGAAAATTAGCAAACCACTGACAATCAACATTTGTTGTTTTGACATAATAACCTACCTGCAATATATACCAGAAAATGAATATGCATTCATCTTTGGTGAGAACTGGTTTATGGTTGAGTGGAATCCTTCCAAACAACTAGTTTGCTCCAAAGGAGAAGCTTGCTTAAAGCCCTTTACAAAGGACTGGCTTAGCTTTATGTAAGCTGGAGAATCTAAGTGAATGTAAAAAATAAGCTTTCTCTAAAGTAATAGTGCAGGGGTTTTTTGGAACAAAATGGACAGGTTAATTTAGATGAAGCTGTAAACAATGAAATCAACCAACACATACCAAGAAGAATCCACTTTCTTGGAGTCAGTTCACCATGAGCACATTTATCATACAATGGATCATCTAATCCATCATTCTTGTCAATGACATGACTCAGGAATGACTTGAATTTTGCAAGTATAACCATACCATTTCCTGAATGTGTTGATGTAGCACTCCAATAAAAATGATTAATGCACGGCTTTACCCATTCGGCCAGTTCTTCACAATCTGCCTCTTTTGCAAGTTTGTTCAATACCTTGTGTAACTCTTGTAATAAAAGTATGTGAAAACTGTTTAATACTTTGGGTTGATTCTGTCGATATGCTATATGTGTATTGGATACTGATAGAAACTTGATTTGCATTCATTTAACAACAACTTACTTTTTTTCAAGTGCCATAGGTCAAAATAGTGGGTAATTCTTGGTTGTTTCTCTCTCATGTATTTAGCAATGGTTTGATGCCTGTCTGACACCATTGTGGAAATGTTCAGACCATCATCCAACAAAAAATTCAAACACCTCTGAAAACCTTCGAATTCCATTCCTGTGCTGCTTCCAACCTCATTTCTCTACAATTAAGGAAGAGACACAATCAGCATAACTTTTGAATGACAGTCACATTGCTTGAGGTTGAATTTTAAAATTTGTTTATACCTGGATCAAACTAAAATTGATTATTTCAGCTGAAGTACAACAAAATATGGTATAAGCACCATATTTTGCACTATGACCCATGCTGTCATGTCGTGCGTCACCAGAAATGGTAATTGATTCCAGAGCCTGTAATCTATCAAGAATCTTTCTTTGATAGTCTTTCCAGTGAAGAAAGATTGTCGGAAGCACCATTTTCTTAAGTAAGAATAAGAAATACTATCAAATTCTTCGAACAAAGAACGGTCCAAGTATTTTTAATGCAAAAGAACGTACCACTTGGTGTCTATAGAAAGACTCATTAGATATTGTAGCAAGCCCCATGTGTCGAAACATGTTGATCACTTTGGTGGAAGATCCTCCAGAAACAAGTATGGCAAAACTTAAAAGGAAGCTGCATTTACTTTTGTGTTTGGCAAAAGTGGCTGACTTTTCCAGATGTTATTCCTTTTATCGCACGCGGGGTTTCCACAGGTTGTTTTGACAACAACTAGTGTACCATCTGTTACCATTTCTACGAGCGGGTTATCTGCCTTGCAAACATGGCAAAATTTAAACAGTAACATCAACTGGGATTGGAAAACAATGTATTTTTCTTCCTTCCATATGTTTTCTCTAGGATTCCTAAACGAAGATAGAGTCATACGGGTGCCATCAAGACATAGAATGATTCACAATTAGATAGCATTTACAAACAAGTCAAATATTTTACCTTCTGCATTCATCTTCTAATTCATCAAATTCCGATCTTCCCAATTCAGCCTCGTCTTCGAAATATTATACGGGTTTCCCCTGTAGTGAAAACACGAAACGTGTGCAGTACTTATGTGCCAAACACGATACCTTTAGAACGTTTGGCTTTCACTAATTCATCGTATTTTGCTTTCAGAGCTACATATTTGTTCCATGTTTTCCTTTTCTCTTTCAGTAGGTACGCACAACCAACACAACCAACACAACCATCTGTCTGAGTCAAAGCGCTGTTTGTCTAAAAGAAAAAGTCTTTCTTAAAATGTATGCATAATGTCAGTAGGGGTCAAAATATGTTTTGACAGAAAAGCTCACGAATGGCAAGTCAAATTGTAAGATCGCTCTCATAGGCGTACGGGCACATATTTTTAGGGGGAGCTGGTAGTAAACTGTAGTAAGTATCTTGCCAGAATATCATGTAAATGCTTGCCCGAATACACAGAAGGTTGCAGTGCTCGCTCTATACTTAGTGGCGAAGCTGGTTGAGATAACAAGGTCATGCTCATACGCTAGTGCACAGCACGAGGCGCCACCATGGTTGGCGCCGAGAAAAATTTTGAAAATTAAATGCCTTAAACTCCCGGAAAACGCTTTTTTTGGTTTTTATTTACGAAGCTATAACATGGAACGTCACGCCACGTACAACCGTTTAAATTTATTTTTCAAATATCCTTCAGTCTTGGACTGTTTCGCCCTATGTCAGGGCTCATCAGCATGCCTAGGAAACACACAACACATCCACTCTGGAAGTATAAAAATGTGATTCTGACATAGACAGCCCTCATTAGAGCCTTTTTAATGAGCAGTCTGGTTTTAAGGCGCCAGATTCTCGCCTCACACCTCAGTTGAAAAGAGGAATTTGGTTAGAAATGGGAGACCATCTGGGACATTTTTTAAAGAATGAAAATGCTCAATTCTCATCTTATCCCGGTCTTTTTCCAACCCTTTAAAACCATTTCACAATTTTTCCAGAAAAGTTTAACCTTTATCGAGCACATTTTTTAAGCGCAGTTTATTTGGTTTAGTGATTATTGCTGATCTGCTTCAGAGGAGACAAATGGTTGTATCAAGTGCAATAACTAATTATCAAAAACATACATTTTCAAAGATTTGTTTTTGGTTTGCTTAAAGCGGCATTAGAGAGTGAAAAATGAGCCATGCAGACTCATTTGTATGAAAAATTCAGTCTGCGAGGTTTTTTAATAAACTTATCCAGCATGGCTGGATGTAATTGCTTTTGATCGTCTTTTGCTTTTAAAATATCTTTATGAATTGAAATTCTGCATAATGAGCCAAGGCGTTCATCTCCCATTGAATTCCTTAAAAAAGTTTTCACCCTATTTAAACATGAAAACGATCTTTCAGCTGAAGCACTAGAAATGGCAATAACAGCGTTAAGTTTCAATAATTTAACAAATTCGGGTATACACTGGTGAATACCAATGTGATAAATGTATTTCAATAATTCCATGGAGTTATCTTTTAAAAAATCTTTATCTTGGTACACAAAAAAAAGTTGACTTCGAAGCCTAGGTATATTAAAGAGAGGACCATATTTTGCTGATAGTTGATGAATTTTTTCATTAGGAATTGCTGTTTTCCACTGCACAAAAAGTTTAGGATTGACTAAGTCAAGAAATGAAAAGCTCTCTGCATCCGTGAATCTTTCCTTAAGCACATTTGTTACACAATCAATGACTTTGTAATAGAGCTGTTTAAAATTTATATTTATCTCAGATTTTCGAGATGGAGGACCAGTTTTACGTTCAGTTGCAGAATAACAAATTTCAAAAGCTGTTTCATTGCGGAGGGAAATTAGAAAATTACCAAATTCTTCAATTTTTCTCATGCCAAATGCATAATCAGTAGACCTATTTTGTAGAATATCATATAAAATGGCTGATCTCTCCAAGATTTGGTAGTAAAGTAGTAAAAGGAAACAAAAAAGAAATGATTCAAGGTAGTGGAGGAGGCCATCAGTACGTGTACTTGTTTCATCAGTCCATTTCCAAGGATTTTCACTGATCTCTGTAAAAGCTTTTACTAGTGTATCATAATTATTAAAAATAGTAGACACAGCTCGAGATTTGAAATACCACCTAGTTTCCCCTGGAGCAGGTATATCAACCCCATGAGATTTCAAATGGGATTTTCTTTCAGGACTGGAATTTGTAAAGGTGGAAAATGCAGAAACATTAGCAAAAAATATTTTCACCTCTTTAATTTTCAAAGCAGATTGACATAAAACCAAATTAAGCCTATGTGCTGCACAATGAAAAAAATAAGCATAGGGGTACACCTGTCTTAAAATTGCCTGTAAACCATTTAGATGACCACTCATCGCAGATGCCCCATCATAAGTCTGCATCACTAATTTAGGTATTACAGCCTCTCCATATCTCTCTAAGATGCCTTTAACTATATCACTAATACCTTGTGCACTTCGGTCGGTACTAACATTTCTAAATTTTAAAAATCTTTCCACAATTTCACTCCCTTTATCTAGTCGAATAATGGCACTGAGTTGTGCTTTTGCTGTAACATCAGTTGTTTTATCAACTTGAATGCTAAAAAACTGACATTCTTTCATTTCATCATCAATCTCATCCTGAATGACTGAGTCAATACACTCAATTAACCCTGGAGGGCCCAAAATTTGCTTACGTGAGAAAAAAATTTTTTATCAGTCAAGAACACTTACTATGGGCCGGTTAAACATAACAGAGGTCTTCTTTAAGAATTTCGTGCAATCCGAACAAATTGGGCAAATGGGTCATATGTGACCCATTGGGCCTTCGTGGGTGTTAAGTAATACAATACACTAACAACAAAATAATGACTGTTTATTAAAATTGTAACCGTTTATAAAAAAAAGAACTATGATAAAACTGTATGTGTCTGGTAAAATATATAAATGGGTAATTTAAAAAAGATTTGAACATGGCAAAAACTATTTTACATGATATACCTTATAACAATTTCGGCGTTCATTGAAACATAGTGGAATGTTGCATTTTTCACAGTATGTATCCGTTTTTATCGTTTTGCATACAGCACATCTACGTCTTTTTTTCCCCTTATATGGCCAATGTGCAACTTGGTCATATCGTACGTCCTGACATGGTTCTACTCTTACCACCTTTGGGGTACACTTCTCCTCAGATGGTCTACCACGTTTTTTGCTGGTTCCAACGTCCGTCAAACCTTGTGCAACCATTGCCTGGAATTCACGGAGCTTCAGCACGTCACTCCCTGTCACTTTCAACAGCTCACAATCGCGCTGGTAAATGAGCCATGCGTTTATCATACCAAGAGTGATGAAATGCCAAAACAGAATCATGTACCATCTGCGTGATCTGAGTGACAACTTGCACTTGGAAATATGACAATCTAACATGTCTACGCCGCCCATATAATTGTTATACTCTTTGATCACATAAGGTCGGTTCACTGGAATGTATGCTTTAGTACTTTTATCCCAACGACGAGCTTGGTCAATTGGTTCAGCGCCAGCATAGTTGGATAACATGGTGACTGCCCTGGTATCAAGCCACCTGAGGCAGACGATATTTCTGGTGGATTCAACTCTAACATCGTAGGAGCCTCTGCCATTTCGACTGAGATCTTTTTCTGGTAAAAGCTTGGATTTCAGAGCTTTGCCCAAACAGTTTTGCCTCACTGTTCCAGCGTATAAAAATCCATCTGCTGAAAGCTTCTCAATCAGCTTGATAGAGGTGAAAAGTTGTCAGCATATATTTTATACTGAGCATGTTTTTCTAGAGTTTCGCACAATTTCAAAACAGCTGAGCCACCAACACCATATTCACTCTTTTCTCCCCTCAACTCTTCCTTGGTAGACTTCAAAGTCATGTAGCAAGCCACTCGGTGAGCACCTACACCAAACCTTGAATCCCCAGGGATGGGGTTTGCCTTTACATACTGACTAATGTTGCCAAACTTGCCTTTTATGGAATCATCATTTCATCAATTGACTGATGCTGAATTGAATGACTTGAAGGCATTGCATGCGAAACATTTCCAAGAATGGTTAAACTTTCCAAAGCTTGTTTTTCTTCTCGTCATCAGTAACAATTTCATTATCCACAAAATGAATTGTACCCAAAAGCAGCTTGAACCTGTTCCTGCTCATAATATCAGCAACTGCTGGGTATCTAGTTCCATTTTCCCAATACATTTTGTAAGATGGCATTTCAGCAAGACCCATTTGACCCAGCTGAAACCCCAGTAAAAACTCCACCTTCATCCACTTTCTCTGTACCTTGCAGTCTACCTTGCAAACGACAGTCAAAAGCAGAATCCAATTTTCCAAAGCATTTTAGTAATTCTCTATAATTACCCTGGTTAAGACTAGCCCTGCTCTCATCATGTGCTCTAAATGCTAATTCCTGTTTGGCAAGATATAAAACTGCCTCCCCAATATTTTTTAGCATCTCTCTGTTTTGCCTTACCTCCTCATTGTGCCTCTCTACTGCTTCTCGCTGAGCTCTCGAAAACAAAACATCAACACTCTCTCTTGAATCAAATAACCTCCACTGTTTGTATGCCTCCATGTGAGATTTTGTTTTCTTGTGTTTTATGCTGTCATTACTAAAACTATGCATGTTATGATAGCCTGTTGAAGCCCATGGAGACTTTCTAGGGGAAGAATGAAACAAAAGACATGGCCAGCAAAACAATCTATTCTTCCTCACACTACCACACAGCCAGTCCTTGTTCGAATACCAACTTTCTTGAAAGCTCCTATCATTCGTCTTTAGTGGAAGCTTCCGTATCGGCCTTGACATGCGAGCTATTTGTTTCTGCTCACTAATATTTCGTGAGGAAAACGATCTCTCTACCAGCTCTGCTACTATATCCTGACCATCAAAGGGGGAAAAATAAATTGTCGATTGATTTTGCTCAATTCCTTCCTTGACCGAAATAAACAATCGAAGTAATTATATGATCGTATAATAGCGTATCGTCAAAACAATCAAACTCCTGCGATGAGTTCATGGCATGACTTCCGCATGACTTTTGGCGGAAGTAGCCTAATTTGGCCAATCAAAGAAGCGTATTTTCGAAGGAAGTCATGCTCTCAAGTGGAAAGCAGGAGTTTCAAACGTCATCAACAAGCAACGCATCCAGCGCTCAGGTGGCTAAGGTTTTCCCTAATTGCGGCTTTTTTGCGTAACACAACGCGTAGTCCAAAAACTCAAGCGCATTTCTAAAAATTATATTGTTGACTTTTTATCAAAGAATAACGAATTGACAATTACTGATCAAAAAAAGTTTATAACTTTATTTTAAAATATAAATTATATCTCAGAGACTATCTCATTGAGTTTATCTTCATTAACAGTTTTATCCTCATTATAACATTCTGAAGGAATACCACAATTTTCTTGTTTCATTTTCATAAAGTTATTTACAAATTCCCCAAAAATTTTACCCTTATTTTTATAATGATAAATTTCATATATTTTAATTATTCTTATACCCACATTCAATACCTTTATTTATTTCAACACTAGTCCACGTACTGTGTGGTAAAAGTGTAGTAGGGGGTAATATACAACATTTAATTAACCCAAACACACTAGCGACATCAATATTTAAACATTCTTCCTCTAAATGTATTTCAGGATGATTTAGAGGATATTTATACTTTTTTTGAACATATGGATATAATGACGTAAATTCAATATATTTAACCTTTTCATTTTCCTTCACTTCCTAATATAAACATGAAGGTGATGTTCTACCACCATACAATGCATCACGTGGATGCAACGGTAACACATTAAAAAATTCCTCTTTCCTATTTTGTATTTCCCTAATATTTTTATCTTTTAAATATTTACATTCCCACATTTCGACTACATTATAATTATTTTCAATTAATTATTTTGATAAGTGTTTTGTTTGCATACTTAAAAAATACATTTTTTCTTTATTTAATGTATTATAATCATCATTATTAAAACATTTATTACAACCATGGAAGAAACATCTGTGAAATTGATATACAGTATTGTTTTCTTCACAATAACCATCAACAAATCTACCTAAAATTTTTCTTTCTCCATTAATGGATAGTTTGTATTCTAAAGTGTAATCCATTTCATCTAATTCTGATTTAACTGCACTTAACCCACATAATGCTATTAAACTTTGCATGGTATTACCCCTGTACCCAAATGATGGAATTTGTGCAATTTTATCATCTTGTAAATAATTACTTTCAAATATTTTTAGTATTAAACCAGTAATTGTTATGCATGTTGTATCGTAAAAAGGTAAAATATTTGTAATGTTGTAGATTATATTTAAAAATTTTATACATCCAAGTCTTAGTATATTAACATCATTACTACAATAATAATAAATTGCATCTCGAAATATATATTCTTTTTCACATTGTTCGTCATACCATGTGTTAAAATCATTTGTTTCACTTTCTGAAATATCAAAGTATTTTTTATCAATCATATTTCCCCTATATGTCAGATCAAAAAATTTGTATGGATGATATCCTTTTACAATATTATCAATTTCGAGTGATTCTGGAAACTTTGCTAATTTTATGGACAAAAATGAATAACTATCAATAATTTGCAGATTAATTTCATTTATTTTTAAAGATAAAATTTTATTTCCATTCATAACAGTTTCCAGAATTAAATTTTTTTCTGTCAATAAGTATTTTAATAAAAATATTTTGTCAAATCTAGCACCATTATGTGCAATCCAAACAGAATTTTTTTGTTCTAACATAAACAGTACTAATCGTGATGTTACATCATCATTATTACAATCAAAGACAAATTGACGATAACCACAAAAGTCAACGGGATCAATTGATAAATCAGTAATATAATCCATATCGGGTAAAAAGTACTCAAAATTTTTATTAAAAGGAATTTTCTTGCATTTCGGACATACTTTTTGAAAAACACAATAGAATGGTATCATTAAATTATTTTCATCTCTTTTTGTTTCAAAATCAAAGAAAAATAATGTTGGTGTAGACTTATACTTATTAAATTCTAAGGGTTTGATATGGAATTTATGCTGTTTATCCCAATATTTTCTACAATGAGCACAATATATTTTTTGACAATCATGAAAAACAACCTTATTTTTTTTAACAAAGAAAAATTTTGGAACAATTTTATTGCATGTGAAGCAAAAAACAAAATGTGTAAAAGAAAAAGGAAAAGGAAAAATTCTTGTATAAGAGGATCAATAAAAAAATTAAACAAAAGGGTAGTGGATATTTAAAGACAATGATGAATGAAAATAGAAAAAATAGAAAATTTGTATTTAATTAATTCCATTATAAGTTGAAAAAAATAAATCATATCTATCAAGGGCATTTTTTTTAAAATAAATAAAATATCGTTACAAGTTGAAGTATGAAAATTAGGATCTCTATCAAAGCTTAAGCCCAATTGTTCAAATGTTAAATAACTAAGTGTTGTTAATGCAAAATTAGGTTTTCCTAATTGTTTACATTTTATAACTAGTAAAGTTATAAAATCATGAAACAATATGTTACAATATTTACATGATAATTAATGTCGTGCATAATGCATATAAATTTCATTTTCGATTAAAAAATTATAAATTACATCTTTATTTACATTATTTCAATTGTATTGAAAATTTTTTTACAAGATATATAAATTTTTACATCACTAACATATTCAAAAAATATCTGTATAACCCATTACACTCTAAACCTAAATGAAAAATATCTTTTTTTACAATCTGAGAATCATGCAAATAAATGTTGATATAATCATATAAAATTTTATTTGTTTTATCTACATTAAAATAATGATACCTGCAACAAAAATTTTCATTAAATAATATTTTTTATGTTGCATATAAACTTTGGGTAGCCAATAAGTTGAAATTAAATAAAGATGCTCAGTGTTTTCATTCTCCCAACAATATATTATCCCTACTGTTCCATACAAAAATTCAATAAAATCTACATTTTTGAAGATGATATTTAATTTTTTATAGTTTGAAAAAGATTTAAAATAAATTGAATGTTTTAAATCTTCTACAGTTGGCTTAATTTTCAACACTTTCATTTTCGATGGAGGTTTTTTCATTTTTAATAAATAACTGCCTACAAAATGCAACGGGTATAAAAAAGGATGTCCAGGATATTCCCTCAATAAAATGCCAAATACTTGAATAGATAAACAATCCATATCGTTGAACTATAAAAAAATTTATAATAAAATAACTCGTTAATTCTTTGGAGGTTATGTAATGGGAAAAATCCACAAAAATAGTATCAATTTAACCAATTTTTTTGTCACTATGTTGTCTGCAAAAATATAATAATAAAAATAGAAAATAAAAAGCCATTTCAAAATGAAACAATTGATTTTTAATAGCATATTTATTTATATACATCGTATAGTTAGAGTTAATATCAACTCAGGGTTTATATTGATTATTTGCAGTCTGAACAGCAGCATACATATCAATATTTAACATTGTAGTTTATATAGGATTTTCCAAATAAATGCAGCAAAACAGATTTTATAAACCATGCTTAAGTGAATCAATTTTATCACGAAGTAAATGCGATAATTAAGAAAGAATAAAAGTAAAGTTTTATTTAATATGAAAAGTAATTTTTGAACTTCAAACATCAGTCGCGTGATGGATTTGACATACGCTAGATCCGCCCCTTTTCTTACTAGGATTATAGAGTCATTGGAAGCAGCCAATTAGATACTTCCTTACAGACAAAGCTTACGCAAGTGTGCAAGCACAGCTAATAAACATTGCACTGGTGAAAGCAAGTGCTGCTGGTCTGAAAATATGGTGTGCAAAATCAGATAGAACGACTAACATCTGGGCTTTCAAGAAACTTGGATGTAGTTTTGGCAACACCTATAATTCTATTGAAACAAAGTTTCAACATCCTGTGACTGGTGGCGATGTCTTTGTTGTATTAGATGCATGCCATATGCTGAAACTTGCAATTTGTTCCAGTGATGGAGATCAAATATAATGACAATTCTTCCATGTTCTTAATTTAATGCAAGAGCAGGAGGGTCTAAAACTTGGTAACAAATTATCGAATAAAAACATGCAGATTAAGAAAGGCAAATTAATGTGAGTTCGGCAGCTCAAACACTCAGTGCCTCAGTTGCAGATGCCATTGATTTAATGAACTTAATGGCATGTGCAACTGTCCAAAAACAGCCAGAGTTCCAAAAAAGAGAAGCTAATGTTACATTTTTCAAAAACATTGATAGACTTTTTGACTTACTTAATTTAAGGAATCCCCATGGCAAATGTTTTAAGAAACCACTAACATTGTCAAATATGAGTGGATGCCAATCAATTCTCAAGTTGTGTTAAATCACACAAAGGAGTATCTGTAATATGTGCACATAATTAGCAGTATAAGCTTCCGTTATGTTATATATGATTGACATTCACTTAGGCATAACTTGACTATTAGCACATGTAGAGCACAAACGTGTAAGCTGAGAGAATAAACGTAGACCAGGGGTTCTTAACCTTTTGTTGGTCACGGACCCCCAAAACATTCTAATGAAAGCTTTGGACCCCTTTAGAAGAAACACATCGCAATTGTCAAAATTAGCTTTTAATTAACTTAGTAATATAGTCAAGAAATTTGCAGACCAAACAGAAGCAAATTAATAATTCAACGAATAATAATGAATAATAAATCAATTACCGAGTCAATTAAGTTATACAACAATTACAAAACCATAAAGAATCAAAAAATACAGTGCAGTAACCAATAAGTAGAACGCAAATAACTTTTTAAATCAATGCGAAGGTTGCTCCTGCTTATCTTCAACAAGAACACGAAATTGTGGGATGGTTTTGCCAGGGCCACACGCATGTTATCCTTAGCATCCAACCGATTTCGTTGTTTCGTTTTGATAGCAAGAAGAGCAGAAAACCCTGCCTCACAGAGGTAGGTAGTAGCAAAAGGAATAAGAGCAACCATGGCTCTCTTCACTAGGCGAGGATACGCTTGTGCCAAGGAACACCAGAATTCTGCAAGGTTCTTTGAATTGAATTCGCTCCTTAGCATTTGCATTGTCCTGAACTCAATGAGGTCATCTTTGGCAAGATCGTCATCACCAATAGAATTTAGATCTGCAAGAAATGGGTTGCGAATCCACAATTCAAAATTCGGATCATGTGAGCAATAACTTTCAAAAGATTGCTGCAATCTGTCTAAATTTTCGCACATATTTCCACGTAGAGAGGAAAGCAGGGCTTCAGTATTATCGATTCGAGTTTGAGAGATCACTTCCTCCAGCATTGGGAAGTTGGCAAAGTTGTCTGTCTCAAGTCTTCTTTTCCACAAAGGAAGCTTTGCTTGAAAAGCCTGCAGTCTTTCTGTAACGTCCATAATCGTTACATCTGGTCCTTGAAATGACAGATTTACTTCATTCAAATGACCGAAAATATCTGCCAAGTAAGCTAAGCCATAAAGAAACTCCTTTCTGTCAAATTGCACTGATAGAGGATTTTGTTTTCTCGTAAGAAGAATGAAACTTCCTTTCTCAGTTCCATCAAACGCTTCAAAACTTGACCTCTCGAAAGCCAGCGAACTTCAGTGTGGTACAAAAGTACTTCATGTTGTGCACCCATTTCTTGGCAAAGTCTTTTGAATATACGATTGTTTAAAGCTCGAGCTCTGACAAAGTTGACGATCTTTACAGAAACAGACAAAATTTCTTTTAAAGCTGGTGATAGAGTTTTGATGCCAATGCATGTCGATGTAGAAAGCAATGAGTCACAATGATGTGAGGAGCTTCTTTCTTTACCAATGAAGCAAACCCTGAGGTTTTTCCAAGCATTGCGCGCTCGTCGGTACACAAACTACCAATATTTCTCTTCCAATTGAAGTCTTGTTTGGCAAAGAAATTGTTCACCATCTCTAATACGTCTGCAGCCTTTGTAGTTTCTGAGAGAGGCTCGCAAAATAGGAATTCTTCTTTAATTGCATCAGCGTGCATATAACGAACATATACAAGAAGCTGGGCACACTGAGAGACATCTGTGCTTTCATCCAGTTGCATGCTAAATGGAAATGGTGATGCTTTAAGTTCCTCCATTACTTGTTTCAGAATATTATTAGAAATGTCAATAATTCTGGAGCTGATGGTATCGTTTGACAAATCACCAAGTGAAAACAAGTCGTTATGGTAGACGAATCAACCCAAATCCAATTTACAAGACTTGAAATATAAACGTGTTATCTATAGCACCTAACACTTAAACTTAAACTCTTTTCAATTAAAGAAAAGAGGGATGTAATATAGGAAATAATAACTCAGACAGTCTCTAGCTCAATTATAAAGTTGGAAGAATGCTTCGTGGAAATTCAGTAAGAGCATCAGCTAATGCATATTGTCAGGTTTTTGATGATACTGTTATCATTCCTGTCTTTTTATCAAGAAAGCATGCATCTCCATTAAACCAAGATCCACACTGCCAAGAACACAACAAAATCCAGGAAACAGCTAAAGAAAGTGAAATGCTTTGCAATATTCTAAAATCCAACCCATATTCAGAGTTCATCCAAAATATTTTGGAATTAATGAATGGCTTTATTGCGGCAAAGTTAATAAAGTCAAATGTCCCTTCTGTATTTCCAACTTAAGTGGAACAGTATATTCTTTTAACTCCATCAGAACATGATTATTCTGTACAACCAGTGAATGAGTCCAAACCATCACTTCTTCATGATCTAAATAACAAAACTTTAAAAACATTATCAAAATTTGTAGTTGATGTGGTTAAATATGCCGAGCACATATTTAAGTTATATGTAGAAAGCTGAATCTCTGGTCAAGTCAGCAACAAGAGAAATCTCAAAACAAAGATGCTAGTAGAATTATGTAATCACTTTAGTCAGATTGTTACAAATTTTCTTTCTCCTCAATATGAAGACTGAACATTTTTTCCCGATGAAGAAGATCATTGATTATGGTTGTTAAAATGTGTGGCTGATGAATATAGGACAATAAGATACATACATATGGAAAAAGGTACACTGAAATGGTTGTTAATTTCAGGGAAGGGGCGGATCCAGCTTCTGGGCTGACCATGGCCCTGTGCCGTAGCGAGCGCCTTTGGCGCGAGCCAACGCTAGGGGGGTCTGGAGGCATGCTCCCCCAGAAAATTTTGAAATCTAGACTCTCAGTAAAGCGAATTCCGGCATTTTTAATGTAGAATATAACAATATTTTAGTTATAATCTCATCTAAAAAAAATTCTAATATCGTCATTTTTTTAATTCTGTTCGGAAGCAAGAATAAAAATTTTACTTACCTTGTGGTGTCTGATGTAAAATCAATGCAGTTTCCCTACCTTTCTGTAATCACAGGATTGTTGTCGCAGGAGTGAGAGAAAGATGAAGCATGTTATTTTTGCAGTGAATAATCAAAAGACAGTTCACTACAAAAAAATAATTTCCCATCTTTGTTGCCCCATCAAATGGTCTTTTTCGAAAAGCAGCAAGGATGCCTTTTGTAACAGCCATAAAGATGGCAAGACTAATAAAAGCAATGTTCAAAGGTGGTCTTCTTCCAACAACAGCAAAGATGTTTATCCAACAATCGTAAAGATTGCAAGATTAATAAAAGCAATGTTCAAAGGCGGTCTTCTTCCAACAGCAGCAAAGATGTTTATCCAATAATCGTAAAGTTGGCAAGATTAAGAAAAGCAATGTCCAAAGGTGATCTTCCAACAGCGACAAAGATGTTTATCCAACAACCGTAAAGATGGCAAGATTAATAAAAGCAATGTTCAAAGGTGGTCCTCTAAAAACAAAGTAACAAATAATTTTTGGTGGATGGGATTTTTTGATCCACCAAATAAGAAGGTGGGATCGCAGCACAAAGAAAGATATGGACATAGTCAATTGCACTCCCATCAACAAAATCTCTTGGATATATTGTACAATTGAACATTTTAGCCAACGAATCCCAATTTCTTTTCACTTCAGCATCATTAGTAATTTGGTAGTATGACTGAATAGCACACTGGATTACTGTGGACAAAGCAAACATACACATCAAGGATGAAAAGGTGTAATTATTTGCTGTTTCCACTGCTTGTAAAACTGCTGCAATTTCATTCGCATTTTCTAAAGAGGTTAGAGCTGCATCAGGTATACACATGGCAAAGGCATTTTTAAGTGAAGTGAACGCACCATTTTTATGCTGGGACTCGATGAGAGGATGGGTAGAATAGTATTTTGCATTCTCAAACATTTCAACACTAGTTAGGAATCTCAAGTAAATAGTCTCATTCTCAACTAATGCAATAGAACATGAATTGAACAGACAATTCCCATTGGCTGAAGTACTAAAAGAAAAATTAGTATTTAAGTATCAATGACTGCTTTTTATACCAAGTTATACCTGGAAACAAATCTGCTAGACTGACTCTGACATTAGAATAAATAAGGGTAACCAATACTGTTAAAGATAGACTAATAATATTGAAATTGAGAAAGTTATTATTTCTTTGTGTTAATTTGGTAACATCATGATAAAGTCAAAGTCACAGGCAGGTAGTCTAAGATTTGGAACTAGTCTAGGCATGTCGAACAGGATTCAGAGAACTTATTGATTCCATCTACTATAGCATCAATATTCTATATAACCCGCGAAAGAAAGTAACAGTTATTCAAAATGATATGTTAGTTTCTTTAACCAGGGGATAACATAAAATGCCAGGAATACAAGGATAATACATTATTGATTGGGTTGAATTTTAAAAAGGACTAGCTTTGACTAATATTGAAGTAAAACATTTTTTTTAACAGACAGTAACAATTAAATTTATTTAGGCCGTACATTAGACAGACTGAGTATGCAAAATAATGACAGCTTTAGACATATATTTTACATGATACACTAAATATGAATAGCTGAAAATTAACGGATTGATCATATATTTCAGGCCAAGATGTCAAACGTTAATAAAAATATAAATTAATACCCCAATACATGTAAATTCTTACCTAACAGAGACATTGGGTCCGGATCTTTCAATTTGGCTTTCAGGGAACTGCAGTTTTGAAAATGAACAAGTTCGTAGCATAATATCGCCAGTAGAATTTATATGACGATTATTGATTATTTTACCACAATGTTGTCTCAAGTTAGACAATTCACCAGAAATAATTTCGCAAGCGTTCTCTTGCTGAAAGATTTGGACGAGCTTTTCAAGAACATCGATCTTTTTAGAAGTTTCCATTGATCCCAATGGTTGAGTAGAACTAGAAGTAGCGTTTTTTGAAGTCGACAAGTATCGAGCTATTGCATATGACTTGTATTTATTGCGCAATCAAAATACATTCACCGTGGGTCACCGTGGCGCGCATGACCAAAACGTTCCCTGTGATTGGCTTGCAACGCTGCACCGTGGCTAAAGGTTACTATATTTAGCAACTATTGTGAAATTTTTTGAATGCTGACCGTGGCATTTCATTCTGAGATTGCAGGTTCGAATTTACGAACATATTCCACATATTCCGAGCATATGCTTGTCTTAATGCGGAATCAGCAAAAACTCCAGCATCTCCAGCTCTTCCAGCAGCACCAACATCGACATAGACAAATCTGTAATTTGCATCAACCATAGCCAGCAAGATAACACTGAAAAAGTGCTTATAATTAAAAAATTCAGAACCAGTGTCTGCTGGCTGTTGAATTGCAATATGCTTCCCATCAATAGCTCCGAAACAACATGGATAATTCCATCTGCTCTCAAATTCCCTTGCAATTTGAAGCCAGTCTTTGGTAGTTCTTGGGATCTAAAAAATGATGATTTTTATTTTAAAAATTGCAGGAATCCGTTGGCACTCCTCAAGACACAAGTTTTACCCAAGATGATGATGATGATTACAACAATGATTTTAATATTAATGAAAGTGAAAATGAAATGGAACATCATGAAGTGGCTGGTGCAGCAGCAAGGTCTACGAGTCAGCCTATACAAAGGCCAACTACTTCAAGGAAGAGACAGGCTGAAGAAGAATTTCATTTGATTAAAAGTTTGTCAAGTTCAATAGCCAAGAAGAGAGAACGCAGAAAAGAAAATAATGGTGGCAACATGTTGGATGCTTTTGGAGTCTATGTGGCAAAGGCACTTTCGGAATTAGATCCTAGAACTAGTCACCTTGCACAAAATAAAATAAATGGTATAATTTTTCAAGCACAGGCTGGTCTGTTGGCACCAACTCAAGAAATACCACCACAAATGCATCGTGCACAATCACAAAGAAATTATTTCAATCCAAATATAAGCATTGGTATGCCATCAAGTTCAACACCACCACTGTATGATGAAAAGAACGCATCATACAGAGAAGATCATATGCATATGTCAGGTGCCTGGCAAAATTGATACATTCACATTTGCACATTTTTGTAGTTATGGCTTTGTTTTGCATGTGTTTGGGTAAAATAAAGGATGTAGAAAAGTATGTTTTATAAGTGAATAGATTAAATAACCTTCAAATAATTCTCCTTCATTACTGCATACAAGGCATTACATGTTTCTTCCACAATACCAGATATTGTTCTTTCACCTATCCGATATTGAAAAGAAAGACTTCTGAATGTTTCCCCTAAACAAGATACAGACCATCATTTAATATATATGGTTTCTAATACCTTTACTTTGAACGACTCACTGCTATTTTTAATGTCTTTTCTTACCTGTAGCCAAAAAGCGTAATGTTACCGACAATCGCTCCCTTGCCTGAAGCGATTTTCGTAGTTTTGTGTCGTTTTTCTGAATTAGTGGCGACACCATACTCAATATTTCCTGGAATGAAATCCTATCTAAACGATGATACTGTCGGAATTTCTCTGGGTCCTCACAATTCAACTCATGCACTATTGTAGCCAATGCTCCTAGTGTTTCACGGCGTGAAATCCATGATTTGGTCCATGTCTTTCTGCAAGACGCTCTCGAACGTCTTCGTCTTCGGCGCGTTAACATAAGCAGCAGCAAAATTCCTTCCTTGTCTGATGAACTCGAGTCCCTGGCATCCGCCATCTTGCAATGGATGAATGTAAAAAAGTTGCTGAACGCAT